TTGCTTGCTCTTTCCGAGGCAGGAAGGAGGTGTGGGGAGATGCCGAGACGGGCTACACACCCAGGCAGGGCTGGCCCAAAGCGAGGGGGTGATTACTTTACTCCCCAGGAATGCACCTGATCCCCCTTCTAAAGACCTGGGTTTAGTTTCACAGGCTAACTATGCTCTAAATAATCACTTCCTTGTTCCTGTCCTGAGAGGACCTCTGGTCAGGGTGAGAGAAGAGAGAGGCAACCCTGCTCCCAAACACAACAACAAAACATTTCACTCCGTTTGCTTTCTCTGCACTGTGGACGGATTGATGAACTCCTGCCCTCTTGCCTCCGACTCCTTTACCTGTATTTGTAGAAAGGGATACAACGAGCACTACGCAGAGGAAGCACCACAAAGCACACGGGGTCAACACTGGCATGTCCGTTGTTGTTTAGTCACTCCGTCTGCTTTCTCCGCACTGTGGACGGATTGATGAACTCCTGCCCTCTTGCCTCCGACGCTCCTTTACCTGTATTTGTAGAAAGGGATACAACAAGCACTACGCAGAGGAGGCAACACGAAGCACACGGGGTCAACACTGGCATGTCCGTTGTTGTTTAGTCATGTCCGTCTCTTCGTTACCCCATGGACCACGCCAGGCCCTCCTTTAGGAAGCACAGAGCTTTCCTTCCTTCCTCCCCTGCCTTTTCCTCCCTCCCTCCATCCCTCCCTTCCCTCTCTCTTCCTTCCTTCCTTCCTTCCTTCCTTCCTTCCTTCCTTCCTTCCTTCCTTCCTTCCTTCCTTCCTTTTTTTTACACAACAGAAGACCTGCTACCACACAAAGAAAAAAACTCAATAAAATACAATTACATAAGTGGCACCATCACTTTCAGGGCTAGCTTTAAACTTCATTCAATCCATTTTCTCTCCAAAAATTCATTTTTTTCTTCCCTCGGTGTATACCCCTTCCCTCTCCGAAATACATATTCCAAGAATACACTCCATGTTTTCTTAAAATCATTATTTTTTGATTGACCTCTTCTTGTTTTCATATTACATGTCAAGTTCAATCTTTTTTTTTCCTATAGTCTCTCCTATAATCTCCCTTCCTCCCTTCCTTCCTTCCTCTCAGTGGTTTGCCTTCCTTCTTATGAAAGATGATGCCACTGGGTCTGCTCTCTTCTCTGGAATGTGGGATCGCAGAGGAGCCGATAAGCATCAATCAGTTCAACCAAACCCAGGTGGCCCTGTGATCTTCCCGCAAGGTCTCCAGCTTGGCAGGCGTCCTTTCTTCTCGCCAAGCCACCTCGAGAAGGCCACCCACTGCCTTAGATGGAACAGATGATAAGCCCGTGAAGGCTTTGATCATCATCGTGTGGAAGGGAGGAGAGGCTGCCCATTGAAAGGGTTCCTTCCCTTCCCTGACAGGCCCTCGGCAAGCCCCCCCCATCCCGCCTCCAAAGAGGGACAGCTTGTGAACCTTCTAAGGGGGATCTGTGCCCACCTTGAGCTGGTGGTAGCCCCTGAGGACAGAGCCGGCCCAGCGCCCACTGCCTGAGCCTCCCGCTGCTGGAGGGAAGGACGGGTCTGGTAGAGAGCCCTACTGAGGCGTCTGTAATCGAGCCATCTGAAGGCAAAGAAAAGCCACTAATCAGCCGAGAGTCACATAATTGGTGTTTCTTCGGTGAGAGGCCTCCTCCTGAAAAGGAAAACTGCAATTAGCGCTTGCCACTAGGAGGCAAAAGCAGGAAGGGAAAGTTGGGATGAAAATGTGTGATTCTAAACACATTGAGCAGGACAGCTGCCGGTCGAGGCCACTGGCGAGGTTTAGTAAAGGCGTGAGTATAATTTAAAAGGCTTAATTATGCATCTGCGTGCTAGAGATGTTCCTGAGCCTGTCTCCAGTTGGGGCTTCGAGAGAACAGTTAACAGCAAAGGAGACAGAAACGATCTTTCCTTTAGAAAGAGAGGAAATAGCGAGACTCAGAAGAACTTTTTTAAAAAAGACGGCCAGTGAATCCTGGACACTCTGTCGATGGACCCCCTGCTGCAAAACCAGGAGTCACTCAAATCTTGAGTCCAAAGGGCCCGAAAGGTCAGCTCCTCCATCGTCGGACAACGGGGGGGGGGCATCTGGATCTCCGACAGGAAGTCTAAAGACCAGGCAAAGCTGACTCTCCTCTTCTGGCCCTGAAAGAACCGTCCTCCTCCTTCGGATAAGCAACATTGGCAGGACGTGTGTGTTTCCAGCACTAACTGGCCGGTGATGGAAGCCCAAGTGAGGTCCAGAAGTGGCACCAAGGGGTACTTTCTAAAACCGCACAAGGGTTAGCTTTGTCGCAACTGAGCTCCGTGTGTGTGTGTGTGTTCCCTTCAGGTCTTCCTATTGGTGCAACTGCGTTCTTTGTTGAGTTTCTGCCCTTTCAGGTGGGAAGTGGCACCCTATGTCAGCCATGGGAGGCCAAGGCAAGGAGGCTCAGCCTCCGGACCGCTCTGGCCATGCTCCAGGGAAGGGCCTCGCGACCTTTCGTCTTGGCCTGTTTTCCCTTTGGTTAGAAATGGCTCAACCATCAACTCATCAACTCACACCCTGGGACAGGCGTGCAGCGGGCCATTAAACCGGGCTTGTCTTTTGGCCTCTCTCTACTCTGTCAGAGGGAACCGAGGGGCACTTTGCCCTTGAAACTGGGCAGGGGGTCGGCGCTGGGTCAAGAGGCACGACTGGCTGGCCCCAATCCCAGGGTCGGGTTGGGTTCCAGCAGGAAAACAAAGTGCCGGTCTAGTCACGATTAGCACCTTGATGCTGCTTAAGTGCTAGAAAATTGGGTGGGGAGAGTGGCTGAGGGGTCATTCCCTGCCTCATGACCTGCGGAAGGCACCTCTTGGGGGAAGAGAAAGAGAAAAAAGAAAATGAAACACGTCTCTGTCTCATCCAAGGAAGGCGCATTCAGGAGGCCAAGGGATTCACCTGGGAGAGAGACCCTCCGGCCTTGACAGGCGAGGGTGCATGGGGCTGGGGACCTGGCAGATTCAGCCTATGGCAAGGGGGTGGGAGGCCCCCGGGCTGCAGGGTCAGGGCAGTGGAAATGAAGGCGTGCTCGTCCTGACGAGCCCCAGCGGGATGGGACCCATGGGGAAGCATCTCTGGAAAAAGCCTTCTTGCCTCTGGAGCTGCTCTTGAAGATTGTCTAGAGGCTGCAGTTGGCTGACAGGTCAGCGGCGCTCACAGTTTGGATGGGGTCGGCCTGAAATGGCTGGACATTTTGCTCTCTAGCCCAGTGCCTGGAGGGGTTTCCCCAAAACCCGACCCTTCTATCGGCTACCCTTCCAACCATGTTCCCTTGTAGTCTCTCGAGGCTGAAGGGTGCCATTGCCTTGTCCAAGCCTCAGCCTGCTGGTTTTATTCTGTTTTTTTACGGATTCCTCTCTGGGGGTGTCCAAGGAGTCATCCTTCGAGTTAAGTCCTGATATCATCTCATGTGTTTCAATGATTTGTGATGCAAGTGCTGGAAACCGCAGTATTTCAATGCCAGAACCGAAAGGTTGGCTTGCCTATCCCCATTCCTGTTTTGACCGTGCGGTTGTGTGATTTATTGGCCGTATTGAAATATTTTGCTGTGCAGGTTATTGCCGCCTGCATTGGTTTACCTGGTAAACTGGCCTGGGAGATATCTATACATTGATTACATCCTGTGAGGAGCTGCCTTAAGCACAGAACTGGGAAGGAACTGGAGGTGGAGACTTGGGGGGAGAGGTGGCACCACAAGAGTCCAGATCTTCTGGATCTGACTTACTGACCCTTCCCATCTCCTTGAGTCACCGGTCGCCCCGGATCGGAGTTCTAAAGCAGCCGCCTCTTGGGGGGGTTGCTGCAGAGTCGCCAGCCCTGTGGTGATGGCAGTTTGGACAGTGTGTCCTCTTGGTGGATCATGTCCCAGAGTGATCTCCAGGCAAGGACTGCTTGAGCTTCCTGTTTCTGGGGGAACCTGTCACCCTGGTTCACTGGAGCATTTGTGACTCTTGCGCGGAGCCTGTCTGGGTGTGACGCCCGTCCTTTTCTCCAGGTGGCAAAGGAAGGGCCCTTCTTTCATCCCGTGAGCAAGGGTGCCGAGGCCGAGCCCCGCCTGCGTCTCTCCTCCCCTCTGTCTGCCAAGCAGCAATTAAGGCGCAGGCCGAAGAACAGAAGTGAAAAGGTGAAGAAAGGAGCGCGAATGGGAAGCCCTCTCCGAGGCCACCCTGGGCATTCAAGCCTTGGCACGCATGCTCCTTTCCCTTGGCCTGCTGGCTGGCTCCTTGCTTTGCTCTCCTCTCTCTCTCTCTCTCTCTCTCTGAGCCTCTTCTTGGCCACTCCCATTCAGAAGTTCACCTGCCGCACCAGCGTATCCAGCAGACTGAAATTCCTGTACGGAGAAGGCCAGATCATCTAAGGAGGCAAAGATCCCTTCGGCTGTAAGGCCCCCCCCATCGCCACTGCTTGAGTGCCCGAGGGAGGCAGGTAGGGCAAGGGGGCTGATGGGCAAAGGGAGGGGGAGCTTGGGGGGGCAGGGGGCCTCATGCCTCCACTCAGTCCAAAAAAGCCCTTTGCCCCTTTAGACAAATCAAAGGCCGTGTTTAGTGCCCTCAGATTATTACACACACATACACACACACACAATTGCTGGTGCTGGGCTGAACTGGTCGCTCTGGTAGCCACACGCAACCTGTGGCGAATGAAGGAACGCGGCTGCCTCCCTGGAAAACACCCCGTGTGGATCCTCCTTTTACCGGACGGGGGGCTCTGGATCACCTGGCGCTTCCTTGCTGTCTCTTTGGCCCTCTCAGGTGATGCCGAAGGTGGGCCAAGCTCCAGGGTCCGAACTGCGGGGCTCCTTCTCCCCAAAGGCCTTGGGGCTCAGGTTTTTCAAGTGTGACGTCTTGCGTTTCAGGGCAAGTGGCTGTTTGAACGCCCAAGAGTTGTTGGCGATGCCGGGGCGGGCAGCACCGACCTGCTCCTCGGAAGAGGAACGCTCCCCCGCCCCCCACCCCACCGCCTATCCCACCTGCCTGGGCCTGCCCGCTCCTTCTGGGGTGTCTGAGATGGCCCTGTGGGGCCGGGACTTTGGAAAACGCTCTCTGACTCTGAAGCCCAGGGGTGGGGCTGGCCCTTCGTGACCTGGCGCCGGTTGTCTGGTAGCTTCGGATCCTGGCGTGGGACTGAGAAGCCGTGTGTGTGTGTGTGTGTGTGAAGGGGCGGCACAGGGACAGGGTGTCTCCAGGAAGATTGCTCAGGGTGCATTGATAACCAGCTGTCCCTGCGCAGAGAGACAGGACAGGCACTCTTGCACTGTGACACCCACTTGCACGGTCTAATTCCAGGCTCTGTTTATCTTGGCACCAGGAGGGCAATGCCAGGCAAAGTGTACTAAGGAATTCAGCCTTCACCAATGGCTCGCCTGCCCGTGCGAGACAAAGTGCAATGGGCAGAACAGATGCCACTCTTGGTTTTCTCATCTGGACATTGAAAATGCTCATCCAAAAATGGTGGTTTGGAGATTTTTTTAAAAAAGAGATCTGTCTTTGAGACTTGTCGTAGAAATCTCAAAGACAGACCTCTTTTTAAAAAATAGGAAGCCCATCTGGGGCCATTGCTAGGGACCTCCTCCTTACCTGTTTTTCCCAGAAGGGGCCTTCCCTCCGACAGCCGTGGCCATCTGGGGGGCATCATGGCTGAACCTCTGAAGATCCCAGAAAAGGGCATGCAGGGCCATGAAAGGGAGAGCGCGGTGAGGCCGAGACAAGCGACACGTCCTGCTGTCCTGCCTTGCCTCGCTTGGTCCTCTTCGGAGAAGGAAGAAGGCATCTGGCAGCCAAAAAGGGGGCCAGTGAGCAGGAGGACGTCAGGCGCCCGGCCGGCCGGGCCACCAGAAAGGCCTTGGGGAGAATAGCCGGGGCCGGTTCTGCCCTTCTGGCAGGTCCCTCTGGCCAGCAGGCAAACGGATGGATGGGAGCGGCCAAGGAGGGCTCGGGGCGTTGGGGAAATGAGGAGACCCTGGCTGATGTGAGGCCAGAACGCAGTGACAGGTTAGAAGGTCCAAAGCGTCAAAGGTTCTCTCGACCGCTGGCCAGAAACAGCCAGACACCCAAGAGGGGGGAACCTTCAGCCGTCGCCCTGGAGAAGAAAGCCAGGTCTCCGGCCAGGCTGGAGGAGCCCTGGCTGAAGCTGTAAGGCCATGGCAGGCGGAAAAGGCCCCACGACACCGTGACCAAAAAGAAAAGGCAAAGACGGCTTATTTAGGCTTCGTTTCCATTTGGAGGGCGCTCAAAACCTGAAGCACCGTGCTGTGGTTTTACTCAGGGGACTCATCCAGACACCAAGCAGCCGTTTTCTGCTGCTTGGTGCCGGATCAGAGCAGACCTCCTCGGGATTTCTGTCCACATAGATTACCAGAGCAAGCTCCTCTTCTCTTTAAGAAACCAGCATCTTTTTAAAAGGAAAGGTTCAAATATGTTCCAAGAAGCCCTGAAGAAATGGTTTAGAAATGTGCTGGGCTTTGATTCATTGAAAGCTTCTGAATGGAGCTCTTATCTTTGAAAGAGACTCAGCCTCTGATCTGCTTCGGAAATCAGCTGGCGTTTCACAACAAGGCTTTCAAATGCGAGGAGGAAACCCTTTGAGGAAGATCTTCTGTGTTGCATTTATGTTTATTGGTGCTGCCTCCCTGTTTTTCTTACTTCTTTGTGAGGGGATTAGTTTTTGCCACCTGAATTCTGTCCCTGGTACAAAGCGAACCAAAGCAAAGCAAACAGAAGAACATCAATTTGTGCATTATAAAGTACAGTGGTGCCCTGCTAGACGACGACCTCACAAAACGATGAATCCGCATGACCTTAAGTTTTTGCGATTGCTATAGCGATTCGCAAAACAGTGTTTCCAATGGGCGATTTTCGCTGGACGATGTTTGGGTCCGTGCCTCGCAAACCATTTCTCGCAAGACGACAATTTTGGCACTGATCGGCGCTTCGCAAAACGGGTGTTTTCGGGACCGATGCTTTGCAGGACAGCCATTTTAACAGCTGATCAGCGCTTCGCAAAATGGCTTCCCTATGGGCGATCTTCGCAAAACGACAACAATTTTTCCGCATTGGAAAGCATTAAATAGGTTTCAATGCATTTCAATGGGGAAACGGTTTTCGCAAGACGATGTTTTCATAAGACAGCAATTTCTATGGAACAGATTATCATCGTCATGCGGGGCACCACATGAAAGCCTCTACATGCGATGAAAAGGCACGGGTCATTCTAAAAGACATACATGAATCACAACACTTTGATCATCATGATGCCTAATTTATACTCAGGACAAGAGGCTACTGCTGGGACACAATATCAACAAACAGAAGTGACAAAGGAGTTGGACAGGGGTGCATTTTATCTTCCGGCCTGTTCAGCCTGTATTTGAAACATACCATACCAAAAACTGAATTAGATTCGGAGGAAGGAAGAGTGACAACTGGCACACACATGACACTGTATTTCTAGCAGAAAATAATAATGGCTTGAAATGGCTACTCGTGGAAGGTTAAAGATGAAAGTGTGGGAAAAGGATCATAGTTGAACCTTAAGGGGAATCACGTAACTTTGATCCTGACAATGCAGAAGCTGAAACCGTTGAAGATTTTGTATTCCTTGGTTCAATCATCAGTCCTCCTGATAGTCTTCTTAAATGGGGTTCACCAGAACTTGACACACATTCTAGTCAAGGTCCAGACAAAGAAGAACAGAGAGCAGCTAACACTTCCCCAGAGCTGAATGTTAGGCTCCTATTAGAGGTCTAGAATAGTATTAGCCCTTTTTGCTGCTGCATCACATTTAGTCTGCAAACAAAAGAGATGACAGAAAACCCTCTGGCCATTAAAGCTCAAGGGAGGGAGCATGGCTTCAGCTGGGGTAACATCACTGGCTGAAGGATGAAGAGGCCGTTGCGAAAGTATATCACCCACTGTTTCCAGGAAACTGAGGCTCCTGTGCGATTCTGAGGAGGCAGAAGTATGTGATTCATGCTAGTGGTCAAGAAGGAGGTGAATCTGCAGCAAAATCAGGAAGATCGAGATTGGCAGGAGAAAAGGCGAGAGAGGTGTGTGTGATTCATACAAGAGGACAGGAAGGAGAAGAAGCTGCAGCAAAACCAAGAGAAGGGAAAGGAGGTGAAGCCCGCGAGCGCAGCAGCTCTGGTGGCCCTCGAGCCCTCCTTCCGTGGGCAGCTGAAGCCGAGGGGCACGAGAGGGCTGGAGGCCAGAGCACCAGGTGGGGTAAGCCAGGCTGACCTGCGGGCCGCGAGGTCTCTAAAGGTTCGCCAGCTTGGGTTTTGCGCCTGCTGTTTCCTGAAGGAGATCCCTGGGGGTTTCCCTCTGTGGCCGTTTCATGTGCGGTCCCCTGCCCTGCCCTAGACCTCGCGAAGCTAAAATCTCAGATGTGTAGAGACAGCAGGATTATTTGTTACTCCCGAAATAAGTTTGATCTCTCCTCCCCCCCCCCCGCAACATGGCCTGCATTCATTTGGAAGGAAGGATCACTTGACAAGGGGCTGCCCCCCTCCCAGCAGAAGAATATGGAAAGGTCCGAGGCGCCGATGCTGGGCCTCCTCAGGACGCTTTGGGCTTTCAGCGACCCTAACAGGGTTCTTGAGGTACACGAGGAGGGCGAGGAGCGCATGCCTCCCACCGAACACCTCTCAATGAGTCTCCAGGAGGGATTGCCGAGCAGGGGTTTGAGTTCGGGTCCCCGGAGTCCTGGCTTGGATGCTCTCCCCCACCTACCCACCCACCTCTGTTGCTGCCTTTCCTGCTGACTCTTGTGTTGGAAAGTTGAGCTGATGCAAAATGGGGATGATGGGGGGCGGGCAGGGGAGGAGGGGAAGCGGACAGGTTGCTTGGGGAGCCGAAGAGGAGCCCAGGTTCCCCCCCCTCCAATGTTGTTCCCCCTTCCGTTTGGTCTCTGGGCGCCATTCACAGCGCTAGCTGTTAGCCAAAAGATGCTGCATTGCTTGGCAGCCGGATATCCTGACGCTTGTGTCGGCCTTGGGCTCAGCACCGTGGCCTCTGCCACACGTGTCTGCCAGCAGGGTTCAGAGGCCCCACTGGTGGCAAGAGGAGGTGATGGGAGCCGCCAGGGGGGAGGCCCTCCCGCTCGCCCACCCACCCCACAGGGGGCTTTTCTCTCCCCCACTGAGCCGCCTTGAGTCCCAGTTCTGGGAGAAGATGAGGGAGGGAAACAAAAGCAAGCCGGTTGACTTAGGCCAGCAGGGCTTCTGCCCCTGAGCGGAGAGGCCGGCTGGGGGGGGGGACCAGCTCTGGGCGCTTCCTCTCAGGCAGGGCTGGGCAGGGCTGGGCAGGGCAGGGCGGCGATTCTGCCCAGGAGGGGAAGGGACTGGCTTCTCCAAAGAGAGGGAGCTCAGCTCCTCTCCGGGCGGGAGGTTCAGCCCCAGCAGGCCGGTCCGGCTCTATGGGTTGATCTCTGGTAATCTGCAGCTGACTGTCCATATTTTTGATCATTGTGTTTATATTAATAAAAACACCCAAGATGAGCCAGTGTAAAATCAGAATCAAGTTAAAAGGTCAGTTCAAAATGCATTTTACAGGTGCATCCCTAAATATATATATATATATAAAGAGAGACGGAGGGAGGGAGCACGTGGCTGTGAGGAAGCTTTCTAATCCTGGGTGAAAACTGTGCCCAGGGGGAAATTCCCGGGCAATGGAGGGTGCTGGACTTTGGCAGCCGAGGACGAGAGTCTTCCCTGCCTTTTGCTGTGGAAATAGGTAGTTCCTGCCTAAGATCATCAGTCAGGTGTCCAAAGCCTGCCCAAGCAGAAAAGGCTTTGGCATCTCAGGAGGGAGGAGGAGGAGGAGGGCCAGAGGGCAGGGTGGGGCACGACGG